TCTAAGACTTCCAATAGTCCCAATATACACCCTGTTGTTGTATCTGAGGACACCCTTTGAATATTTCCATCTAGTGTCAGCACTAGGACTGACAGCCATGATTGAAATTCATTCATTAGCTAGTTTATCCTCTAGATCCACAATGGAATATGAGTTTGTAGCTCTAGACAAATATGGAGAAGAATCATAATGGCTTCGAAACTTTCTTGAAGATATTCCATTATGGCTGAAACATGTGTATAATGGTAAACGAGACATATGCATCGTCGACATAATTTCATTAGGCAATTGATCTCAAATGGAGTTATCCCTATTGATTTTATAGATTAAAGGATAACATCGCAGATCGGCTAACCAAAGGGTTAAATTTAAATTAAGTTGAGAAAACATCTAAAGGAACGAGACTAAAGCCCATGAAATTTAAAGGTGTTATGTGAAGGAAAACCTTATCTTGTTGACTGGAGATCCCAACATCTAGGTTCAAAGGGACAACCTAATTGCATAACTCGTGTAAAGTCACTATGGGGGTTTCATATCCCAAGTTCGTTCCTATGATGTAAACAATGAACACAGTGGTATAGGCTAAGCAAAAGCTTTTAATGACCATTGTGTGTCGCGATAAGCCGAGAAACATAAGTCACATATGTGAGAGTGAAGTGGACCACTTTAAAAAGAATATTGGGCATAGTTCTTTCAAACTCTTACAGAACCAGACGATGTTCATAGCTTTAAAAACATATTCATGAGAACTAAATTCTTGTCAGAGGGGTAGTTATGCAAAGTACGTTATCGTTTACACAAATGGAAGAACAATTCAATAACATCGCGTCTACTATTTAACCAATAAAGTAAATATAATGTCCCAAATGAGGGTTCAAAGGAGAACATCTACATATCATATTCAACTATCGATCGTAGAGGCTATCACCACACCGAGTCAAAATGTTTTTGATAAAATTATCAAGTTCATTCATGTGGGGGATTGTTGGAAAAAAAGAGTGAATTTCATTGATGGATTTAATATTTATATTAATTCATGTTCCTTTTAAATATTGTAAATTAAAGTATATTACTTAAATTGAATATTAGTAGGATAATTATTTTTTTGAATATGTCAAATTAAATAGGTATTTATTATCTATTTAACTTTGATATTAAAAGATAATTATATACTTTTGAATATTTCAAATTAACATAATGTCTATTTAAGTTTGAATAGTAAAAGAAGTTTATATATTTTGAATATTTTAAATTAAAAGATATTTATTATATTTTTAAAATTAAATATTAAAGATATTAAAAATATATCATTATCTTTTTAATATTTAAAATTAAAAGATAATTAAAATATATTATCTTTTAGAGTTTGAATATAAATGAATAACATTAATTTTAGTAAATTCTCCTTGAAAATCCCCTATAAATACCGAACATGTTAGGTTTTTCATATCTCAGAATTCAATAACTTTTCTTCTCTTAAAAAATATTTTCTCCTTCTTAGAAAATATTCTTTTTTCTTCTTAGTTTTTCGGTGATAGTCGAATGCAATGATAGTTCGTGATCTTTACTGTTTTGCTACTGTATTTGATCATCTAGTTGTTTTATCTTGGAAGACATATGACCAACAAATTCGAGGAGTGGCCAAAAATGTGTCTTAAGGAAACTGTATAGCGACAAGCCTCAATTGTTTTCGATTTGAAGATTAAAATTAAAGAGTATTTTATCTTCCAATTGTTTTTCTTTATTTTTAAAGAAACTTTAATTTCTTTTTTTATTTTCTCAGATTTCGAATTCCGTCCCGAATTATTACTCCGGTTAACAGGATGTGCACAAAATAAAATCATATGTTTTAGGTTTTATAAAGTATTCATTAGTCAAAAAGAAGTATTAGAATTATACATAAACTCTCTCATTGAATTAAAACTTCTCTTATTGAATTAAAACTATCTTTTTAGAATTATACACAATAACAAACTCTCTGGTTCAATTAAGAGTAAAATATAAATTTCTTCACCTAATTTTTCACTTTTATTTTAATCACTAAAGTTCAATAAATTTTAATTTACTTGTTAAACTTTTGATTTGTTCCTATTTTGGTCATTCGAGTGTTAAATCATAAAAGAGAATATGACATGACAACTACATGTGTTGATGTGGGTATTTTTATTAACATGATATTCATGTGTTATCTATATCATTTTTTTTTCTTTGTTTTTTTTTCAATTTCATCTTATTCTTTCAAAGATGAAAGTTTTATAGTCTTATCTTTGTGTCACATTTAGGGCTGTAAATGAGACGAGACAGATCGCGAGCTATTCGAGATCGACTCGATTAAGGCTCGATAAATACTCGGATCGAATGGACTCGACTCGAGTTCTTAACGAGTTGAAACGAGCTACTCGATATTCGACTCGAAAAGCTCTTGAGCAGCTCGAAAATATAATATATTAAGATTTTATTTAAAATAAATAAATAAATAATAATATTAATATTTATGTATTGATTTTTTTTTAAAAAATACAGTAAGATTTCATGTATTTAAGGTTCATGTTTGAGTTTGAGGCTTCAATCGAGTTAAGTTTAAGAATTTTTTTTTCATTTCGAGCCTTTTCGAGCTGCTCACGAGCTTCAGTTCAGGATTTCGAGTTCGAGTCGAGCTTGAAAACTTTAAGCTCACGAGTTTTCGAGTCGAGTTGAGCTTCATTTCAGAGTTTTCGAGTCGAGTCGAGCTCAACAATACTCGAGCTCGACTCGGCTCGGCTCGTTTACACCCCTAGTCACATTAGTGCCACAATTAACATTCTCCTGAGTCTTCTTTGACCACTCAAAATATCAACGAACTCATCTATTTGTCTGCTATCACTCTATAAATTTATATTTTACCTAAATCACTTTAAAACTCATGGAACTTAAACCTAAACCCAAAACTCAAGAAACTCTAATCACTTTAATATATGATATTCATCATTTGATCGATGTGGAATAAAGATATAACTCACTTCCTCCTCCTCCACCTCTCCACTGTTGGGATGGACGAAGATGTTTCATCATCGAGAAATCAAAGGGAATTCAACGTTAGTGGTTTTTCACAAAAAAATGAAGAAAGTTTTGAGATCATTTCATGAATTTTAAAACAAAAATATCATGTTATAATGTTGTTAAATATTTAATGGCGTAGAGACCAAAATAGGAGCAAAGTGAATATTTTTAAACTTTAATGACTAAAATAGAAGTGAGATTTATAAGAAATGCTTTAGCCAAAGCTGGTATTTATAGGATAATTTGGAGCCACCCAACTGATACAAATAGATGTTTATTATGTTTAAATTCAGATACATAGGACGATTAGTGGTGTTCATTTGTATGCACCAGAATGCAACCATTCAAGAGAACTCTTACACTTTGAGAATCGGGTTTGAAGGCCAAAGACCGTCGGGTACATGCCACCGCACATCAACGCCTTTCAAGAGGTTTCCGTAAATACCAGAAGTGGACAAGCCACTACTATTGGGAAGCATGAATGGGAACTGCACTACAAATCTGCACAAGCGATGGAAATAGGACATGTTTGAATAATCTCCCGGAATATAGAAATAGGTCCATGGAGAGGAAGAGCTGGTGGTTTGGCAACGAGAAGCATCAACGTAAACTGAAGAGTTCAGCTTTGTCGTGCAATTTACCACATACATGGTGTAAGCTGGGTATATTATATCTTCATCATAGTTGTTGTACGTAGGTATGGAACTGGAAGGAATTGAGCAGTTACCGTCGACCAGACTCGCATCCACAAGTCGAAGCCTTTGGTTAACGTAAGAGATGACTAGGACATAAAAGTTCCCATATTTCATGTGAAAACTGACCGTGCGGTTTCCCTTGCACTCAAGTTCAAACCTTTTGTCACCGCACTTTTGAGGCTGACCTTTCAGTCGAAAAGGCTAACTGATTTCAAAGTTTCCTCACAAAGAAAAGGCCGCATCGGTTGCTTCTGCCTGGTCTAGCATCGGAAACATCTGGGGATAGAGATAAAGTAAGGCCCAAGAAGCTAAACAAGAGATGTTTGGGGCTTAGCATCATGAAGTTCCGGTGGAGCTCCGATGGGGAAATAAACAATGGGGTGTTCTTTTCAATCTTCACTGCCAATAAAGTAATATAATATAAATCAGCCAACCAATAAAGCAAACGTGGAAAAAAAAGGTCAGTATAATATAAATCAGCCAACTAAGAAAGCAAACGTGGGGGAAAAAGCTCTATATAATATAAATCAGCCAACTAATAAAGCAAACGTGGGAAAAAAATGTTCAATATAATATAGATCAGTCATTGGAAGCTGACTAGTAAATCAACAATCGGACTGCGACTGGACGGCCGATGGATCCCTTAACGGTCCCCCCACTACATTATATTTTTTTTGACTGTCTTGTCACAGGTTTGAAATCGGAAAAGGAAACTTCCGGGAAGCTGACCTGAGCTATTTCCATTTAACACAAGACAAAGCATTGCTATTGGTAAAAGCAGCACTTGCGTAATCTGAATTTTGAAGAGCTGAAATACAGATAACAATGGAACGTTTAGCTTCAGGGACTCACAGGTTTCTAATAATAATGGTAATGTTCTCATTATTCTGCCTTGTTTTGATTGTCAATGTTGCAGAAGCTGTCTCAATCCAAGACGACTGCCACATCCGGCAGTGCAACCACAACGAGCCATGCGTCCGGTTCCCGTTCCGATTATAAGACCAGCAGCCACCCAACTGTGGCTATCCTCATCCCGGGTTTCAACTTTCGTGCTCAGAAAACAACCAGACCCTGTTGAAGCTTCCACGTTCGCTGTTAGTGAAGCACATAGATTATGAAGCTCAGAAGATCGACTTGTACGATCCCAATCGTTGCCTCTGGCGACAGCTTTTAGATCTCAATTTATCTACTTTTCCATTCTTGGACCTGGACCAGCAGCTAGGTTTCAGCCGCTTAAAAGTTTATCAATCCCAACCAGCATCATCCTATACCTTGTTCGAGTGTTCAAGCAAAGACAAGGCTTTGTACGAAAGAAACAGAGTCGCTTGCTTAAGCACCTCTGACTCACAAATCCTAGCTTTTTCTTCTGATGACTATTCATAATATGATAACTTGTTGAACTGCAGCATGATCGGCAACTTCTCGGTACCAATTTCTCCAGATCCTATCCGTTTTCAATTACGCTGGAATGAACCAGACTGTGGTGATTGTGAAGCTCAAGGCAAGGGATGTAGACTGAAGAGCTATAGCACAAAGGATCAAACCGAGTGTTTCTACATCCCAAAGCTCCATATAAGTATGTCTTTAACTTGAACGAAAGAGCCCTTTTGCTTAATCTCCCATGTACCAAGCTGAATAATTTCAATGTTCTGCAGGTGCACGAGAAAGGCTGATGATTACTGGTACATGGAATTTTCATTTTCAACTTTAATTTTGTTAAGACGGATGATAAAGCATGATCTAACATGGGACTGATGTATGATTTGCAGGTATTGTCTTAGGTTCTTTGGTTCTTGCAATGGTTGTCACTGCAGTTGGCTGGAGATATTACACAGAAAATTTGCAGAAAGAAGGTGAACTCAAGAATGAAAAGTTTTTGGAAGATTACAGAGCGTTTAAGCCCTCCAGATACTCCTATACTGATATTAAAAGGATAACTGATCATTTCAAGGACAAACTTGTACAAGGAGGTTATGGAACTGTCTTCAAAGGCAGACTTTCCACTGATATTTTGGTTGCTGTCAAGGTACTCAATGATTTCAAGGGAAATGGTGAAGAATTCATCAATGAAGTGAGTTCAATGGGCAGAATCCACCACGTGAACGTGACTCGCCTGGTTGGATTTTGTGCCGATGGATACAATCGAGCTCTGGTTTATGAATACCTACCCAACGAGTCATTAGAGAAGTTCATATTTGCAGCCAAGTGCGAGGATCGATCCCTGAGTTGGGAGAGGCTTGATGATATTGCTCTCGGTGTAGCCAAAGGTATCGAGTACCTCCATCAAGGTTGCGATCAACGAATCCTCCATTTCGACATCAAACCACACAATATTCTGCTGGATCACAAATTTAACCCTAAGATCTCTGATTTTGGCCTTGCTAAATTGTGCTCCAAGGAACAAAGTGCTATTTCAATGACAACTGCAAGAGGAACCATGGGATACATTGCACCTGAGGTACTGTCTCGTAACTTCGGCAATGTCTTGTATAGTCTGATGTTTATAGTTACGGAATGTTATTGCTTGAAATGGTCAGAGGGAGAAGGAACGTAGATGTTAAGGTGGAGAATACAAGCCAAGTGTACTTCCCGGAATAGGCTTATAAGTGTTTGGATAAAGGTGAGGAGTTGAGGATCAGAATTGAAGATGAACAAACAGGGGTCGCAAAGAAGCTCTCCATTGTTGGCCTTTGGTGCATTCAATGGTATCCCGTCGATCGTCCTTCGATAAAAGAGGTGGTTCAGATGTTAGAAGGTGACTTGGATGTTCTTACAATGCCTCCGGATCCTTTTGCATCAACAGATCCAATGAAGATGGGAAACAGCATATCTAGGAAGTCGGTTAACCGAGAGCTACTAGCTATATCTGAAATAGATGAACAACCTCAAACCTAGAAATAATCATTGATAATATTCCAAACCTATGAATATCAGTTGTATATGCGATGCCTCCAGCACTTCATAAAACATAATAAACTATCTATTAGTTAAGGGGTATTATGAAATTAATTGTGTTTCCGCACATAAATAAAATCCAATCTTTTAGGTTTTGTAAAGCATTAGAATTATACCTAAATTCTCTCATCGAATTAATACTATCTTTTTAGAATTATACACAATGATAAACTCTCTCGTTCAAGTAACACTATCTTTTAAAAGTTCTCTCCTATTGGTATTGGCCTTTTGGTGGGAAATTATAAGTAATTAAATGGATGGAAAGGAAGGCAGATTCAGATTTTATACTTATAAAAATCATATATTACAAAGATGGGAATGCAATCACCTTGTTATGCTTTGTCCCATCACTTTCTTAACACTCTTCTCCTTCATCAATACTCTTATTTTCTCTACTTCATCCCATCTCCCTTCTTCCGCATAAATATTCGACAACAATACATAATTACCTGAATTCCACGGTTCAAGATCGATAAGCTCTTTGACAGCAAGTTCTGCAAGCTCTAGTTCACCATAAGTACGGCACGCACTGAGCAAGGAACCCCATAAAGCAGCATTAGGAAGAATATGCATGCTCCTAATCAAGTCATAAGCCATTCTCATGCATCCTCTACGTGAGAGGAGATCAACCATACATCCATAATGCTCGAGTCTAGGATCAATGTCGTATTTTTTGCTCATTAAAGCAAAAAACTCTTGCCCTTTTTCAAGCAACCCTGCATGTTAGCACCCCTATAAAAGTCGCATCATTAGGCCTTGTACCATTGTTCATCATCTCCTCGAACAACTCCACCCCAAGTTCCTCTCTTCCGTTAAAAGCCGTACCGGAGATCATAGTGTTCCATGACACAACGTTTTTGCAAGGCATGTCTTTAAAGATCTGAAGGGCAGTTTCCAAGTTTCCACATTTACTATAAAAATCAACCAATGCATTTCCTACGGAAACCACGTTTCGGTAAAGCTTACTCGACTCTGCATAAGAATGAATCCATTGACCAATATCAAAAGCCCCTAAATGAGCACAAATAGGCAAAACAATAACCACTGTAGCTTCATCAGGTTGGAACTCGAGCTTCATTTCCTGAAAAAGTGCCAATGCTATGCCTCCCACTCTGAGCCAAGTACGAAATCATCGAGTTCCATGAAACTACATTCCTCTCACTCATCTGCCTAAATAAAGTTAACCCCAAATCAACGTCCCCTCCCTTGCAAAACCCACGAATCATCAAATTCCAAATTATGACATCTCTTTTAGACATTCCATCAAACACCTTCTTTGCTTCTTCCATTCTCCCACTCGTACAATACAACTCCAAAACCCCAATCTCAACCGAGCCAAAACGCTCGAACCCAGATCTAATAACTTCCCCATGAATGCATTGTCCGATTCTTACGTCACAAAGACCCGAACATGCCTTGAGCAAAGGTGAAAACGTGTACTCGTCCGGGAAAATCCAGTGTGTTTTCATTAAAGAAACAATGTAATAGCTTCTTCAAAGGGACCATTAAGGGAGTAGCCTTTAACCATGGAATTAAAAAGCAAAATGCTGGGGTTGTGGGTCTGTAAAAAGACAGTTCGCGTAGTCCATTTTGTTTAGGTGGCCACAAACAGAGACAAAATGGGAAAGAATTTGGTTGGATTGGTGCAGACATTGACGGATGAAATGAGCATGGATTTCCCGGAGATTGTTTCGAGTTTTCCGGCCATGGAGGAGGTGGAGGATCTTTCGTTCCACCGCGAGTGACGCTCTGCTCATTATGCAAGTTGATGTTTTTCAGTTTTATCTATCGAATTCGAGTATATATATATATTGTTTCGAAACCAAGTTACCTGGAATTGTTGTTGAGTGATTGAGCGTATTCCGGGTATGTTTCAAATATCGAAAAATGAATTAAATTAAAATTTTATAAAATATTTATATATTATGATACTATTCATTTAAAGAATAAAATTAATATATGACTGTCCGGGTACATAAAATGAAACGTATGTAATTTTTGACACTATTAGTCAAAAAATATTTTAGACACCTATTCGTGAAAAACGATATTTGAACAGTTAACTTATATTAAAGCGTTTGATTAATATGTTTTGAATATTATAAACGTCACATTTCAGCTAACATTTAGTGCTGCGATTAAATTGACAAAAGAACCTTAATTACGCTTTGAGAGTCCAACCACAATATTTTTAGTTTAGTATCGAATTAAAACTTTTACTATAGTTTAAGGACTTAAGATGTAATTAATCCACTTATTTACCGATTTCCATGCAATTCAAGAAAGGTAGTTGATTATAGGAATATTTCTCAACTTTGGGTTGTAAGTAGATTTTGAAATGACCTAAACCCTAATTACCAACCCCTCCTATAAGAAATTGTAAATTAATTAAGAAATGTCCGTCTTGTGATGAAGTAAAATCAAAGGCTTAAATTAATTATGATTAGTGTTTTTAGTAGATTTAGAATTAGCACAAAGAAAACTATCTTAGTCGTTAAAGAAATATTGTTATCTTTTGAGGATTCGAGTTCGAGTATGATATTTACAGGAGTGCATAAACATTCATTGTCAAATGATTGAGAGTCTTTCGAACATATATTACCTTGTATTTATCGAGTGGTCTTAGACTCTTAGTGGTAGAAATGAATGTTGTTCTCCTTAAATAATACAAGTTTAAACAATTACATTTTAGCCTTAAATTATTAGGTAGTCCCGCAGAATTACCCTAATCTCAAAGCAGCCTTAAAATGATAAATCAGAAACTAATTCATCAACTAATGAAGTTAGTATGTTCTTCTGAATCTCCACACCCTGTTCCAATGCTTCCATGTCAAAATCCAGCCATCTCCCATGCTTTGTGCTCATGTCCATGTCTACAATATCATCCACCATTGTGTCCCCCATGCTTTTCCAGCCCGAAATCTCTTTGCTCAACTTGTCGTCCAACCGATCCGGTTGCTGTATCGTTTTTTCCCAGTTAACACGTCCTTTGCAGCTTCCGACCAGAACCTTTCGGTACCTCGCCTCCAAGCATTCACTCACGTAATCGGGCAAAAGCTTTTGTGCAAGCTTGTAGTCTTCTCCGTTTCTCTCTGTTCCATTCGGATGCTCGAGTTGATTGAAGGCCTTCAGGGTCATTACCTTTTCGGTCTGACCCGATGCATATTCTTTGAACAATAGCTCAGAATCTTTTAGCACCATTTTCACAAAATCGGCTTCCCATTTGATTGACTGTTTATAGTCCGTGGAATTTGATGCCATAGTTGAAAGCGTTCCGTTCGTTTCTCCCGCAGGTTTGGAAGATGCTGAGTCGGTTAACTCCGTACCGATTTCTGTCCGAGACTCGCTTCCGGAGGCCCCATTTAACACTTCTTGATCTTGATCCGACATCGATGTTGTGGTGCCTGCAAGCATAGAGTGTATGTGTTGGTTAGAGCATCAGTGAAGATATAACCAAAAATATAAGTATCATGTGAAATTCATAAACTAATGCAACTCGTTGTAAATTTACGAGCTTTTCACAAATAGCATTGCACCGATTCTTGGACTTCGTCCGACGATTGAATCACAATAACATTACTAATAGCTTCATGGCATTTTCTACTCAAATAGGATACGCACGAAAAAAGGGTTCAAGTGGCAGAAATGTGGAACTGCAAAGAGGGAAATAAGAATAAGAAGGGTGCAGCTTACAGTTTCTGCTACTCGAGCAGCCAGCGCTAGTGACAGCAGGTTCAAGAGCTGAAAGCAGGACAGGATGTCGGTTATCGACTTCTATGCCAGTCTCGCTGCTGCTGCAGGCTGCATTTTGCTCTTCGATTTCTTCGGACTGCTGGCATCGTGCAAATAAATTTAAAGTAATATGTCATCATTATGTAAGATTGAAAACTAAGAATACAGTTTCATCTCTTGAAACTAGAGATGTGAAAGACAATAAACTGGAAAGAAAATCAATTTAGATGTCTTCGAAACCTTCTCTTATGTGCAAATCGTAGCAGTGAGTGAGTACCTGCCACTTCCTTCTCCAATCATGCGCCAGGTTGTCAGAAGATCGGTCCAAGTCACCTGAGCTATATGCAATATCATTATCTTGATCCACCGGAAGCCTTTCGTTATGTGCTGCCGATGTTGTGGTCGCCGGCACTGAATTTTTCAAAGTGGGTGTAAGGCTAGTAGAAGTCCCCTCTATGATGATATTGCAGTTGGATGACTCGATTCTGCTTGTCAATTCCTGAAGCTTTTTCTTCAAAATAGCACTCAGAGCATCTCCGCCAATTACATTGAATCCAGGAGAAGATAATGCCGAGCTTTTCGAAAATAGCATGTCACCAGAAGGATCGGTATAAAAGCTGCTGCTGCAGATGTTTTCATCAACTTTACTAGTGGAAGATACGTCAGGCATGGATCTTGATATGGGGGATGTAAATGTAAACGAAACAACATCCGTGCTTGTTTTCTTTACATGTGCATCCTGATTCAAGTGTCCATTGGTTGTAGCATTACATTTTATGACCTTTCACAGCCGTTTCTAGATGAAATATCAGGAACAATTTGTCCAGACGGAAGATCCTCATTTACGGGGTGTTTCTTTCTAGGCAAATTCTTTCTTCTAGACATCGGGACCTCCTTTGCAGTATCGGTCACCACTGAGACCGTCTTCCTGGAATTTATGGTCCTATTAGACCCTGATGTACCATTTATGCACCTCACGTTTCTACCTTGCTGGTCCGAGGTTGAAATCTTAGAAGTTGAAATCTTAGAGGTTGTCATCCGTCCCTTTTGTTATCGGTCTGACTGACTTTGGTCACCAAAAAAGAAATTAAGGGGAAATGATATCTTACGTTATCGGTCATCCGGTTTAAGTCTCTATGCTATTTATTTTGTTTAGCCCCTTTTATTTCAAGTCAATTTTGTTGAAGTCACTAACATGGTTGAAGGACTAAAATCGAACGGACTAATAACGTTAGGGACTAAAATCGAACGAACCGATGACGTTAGTGGCCATTTCCTCTTAATTTTTTTGTCGATTAGACCAAAAACTTGGTGGATTATCAGCATAGTTTACCCAAAAAATCGAATTTAGAAAGGTTTTTGTCAATAAAAGGATACATATAACTATCTTAATTTTTTTTAATCAACTATCTATCTTAATATTAAAAACTCATTGAGCAGTCTCAATGGCAAAAGCAAATATTGTTCTCCTTATAAGACCTAGGTTTGAACAACTGTCTATAGACTATAATACATGTTTTATCAATAGGTTAGTAGAATTCTGATCATATAGTACCTTATGATCACTCTAAACTATTAAAAATAGAGTAAATTATACATTTAGTGCCTAAACTATCAATTTTGATCTATTTTAGTACTTAAACTATCAATTTTGGTCTATTTTAGTACCTAAACTAAGATGTTATCATTTTAGTACATTACTGTTAAAAACTTCAATTTTTGTTTCATTTATTATCCCGTTCAAAATTTAACGTTAAGCTTTGAGAAATATTAAAAGTTCAGGAATTAAAACAAACCAAAAATGATAGTTTATGTACTAAGCACATTAAGTTTTTAGCGATAATGTACTAAAATGAAATGAAAACTAAATGTTATGTATGATTTTGAAAAAATCAAAAGTTTAAGTATTAAACGGATCAAAACTGACAGTTTATGTATTAAATTCGTAATTTACCCTTAAAAATATTAGAAATTAAAGGAGGAGGAAAGCCGTTGGAAAAGTAAAGTGAAAGCAACATGTGATGACACGTTAATCATACTAAAACACTTACAATTTCTTTTTCTAAAAGAAAATAATGGAAAATTTAAGCACTTTTTTTCTTCACCTCTTGATATTGTCAGCAAAATATTGCAATGCCCTTGCCTTATAGCTCATCCTGCACCCAAAAGGACAAAAATTGGACCAATATGCATAATGTACACTACATGGCTAATAATTTTCGATGGACGAATATATAACTTACATGTTGTACTTCATCTTCCTCAGCACCGTCTTTGATCGAGTCCGACTTGGTATCAGAATCGGACTCGCTTCCTTCAGCATCACCGGTATCATCATCCTCGTCCTCGGCCTGAAAGGAGGTTAGTTAACACCATGAAAACAAGAAGAATATAGGAAACGGTGAGATCATGTTCTTAGAAGGGCATTTCGTATGCTTACATCGGAATCAATAGGATCATCCTTCGATTCCTGGACATCACGTTTGATTAGTTGGGAAGAAAATTCAATAATCGACAAATGAGACACTTCCTAGTTAAAAATAATACCTCTTCCTCTTTCTTTTTCTCTTCCTCCTCGAATGCTGCCTTCTCGGCCTGCAAAAAGGCAATAACATAACCCACATTCATATGACAAAGCCAACTATGACATATATATTCATTCAAAATACAGAGATGCACATACATCCTTCTGCTTGCCCCATGTTTCTTCAGCTAGTTTCTTGGCATACTCCGCATCATCGGCAACTAAGATGTTATCAAACAGTGTTCCGGATTTCACCTGACAAACGACAAACATTTATCTTGTTATAGTTGAAAAATAGCACCGAATAGTGAAACCGGGGGAATAGAAAGAAAGAAGCAAGAGAATACCTGCCACAGCTCAATACCAACATACTTCAAGTTGGGGAAAACATAGAGATCGGGATCATCCTTGAAATCTGTGGGTCGTAAGAAAACATGGTAATAAGTAACCCTAAAATAATGTTGTTAAGAACAAAAAGAAAAAGGCTTGAGAGGAAAGGAATAGCAATAACCAGGGTTGTCAATCATTGGTGCCTTCCACTTTCCCTTGAAGTTAGGGTTCTTGATTTTCTGCAGACAGGAAACTTTGTTTACATATTACTGATTCGAAAAACAATATTAACATGCTGCATGCAGATAAGGATTTCACAAACCTTGGGCTCCCACGGGCCCTTGTATTCAGGATTGGGAATGGTTGGGACTGTCCATTCACCATCTTCTTCTTCATCCCAGTCTTCAGGCTGGTGCAGATGATTTTAACATTAATCATTACTATAAAAGAAGGCATACAACTTCATAACAAAAGCATCCTAAAGAATTAAATGACTACCTTCTTAGCATCAGGGTCTGGAATCTCTTTGGGGATGTCATCATATCCCTATAGTAATCAATCCACTAGAGATTAGCTTGCCTATGCATTTTCAGGTAGTATATAGAAAGAATCATAAGAGAATGGAGGAAGGGGAAAGAAGGTTATTACCTCGGGCTTCTTATCCTCGGGATCAGGGATGAATTCCTTGTCATCCCAATCTTCAGGCTGCCCATGATGCAAATCACTTAGGTTGTACTAAAATTTCTATGACAATAAAATAAACCAAAACGACATCGATTGAAACTAGGTTCGGCCAATTACCTTTTTGGCCTCAGGATCCTTGATTTTCTTTGGTGGGAGAAGATCCCAATCGGTGTACAAGCTACCAGTTTGTTTCTCAACATTATCAATAAGGATGCTGTAGGTAGCATCCGGACGGAGAATGAACGTATAAACGTGAGTGAGTTGGTCAGTCTCACAAGGAACTTCCTTTTTGATCAAGTGGTTTGTCCCGTTGTAGGTAAGAATAGCATGCACTTTCTTGGTGCTATAGCCGCAGATATCGGGCCCAAACATGATGCTGCAACCAACCAAAATAACAAAAAATTAGTATATCTATAACAATAATATCATTTAGAGATACCGGTAGGTTGAATCATGGGATGCAACAACCTGTATGGGGTTTCACCACCAAATTTCTTCTGGTCAATGTCACCGCTGATCAACTTCATGTAGCCGCCACCACAATCAAGCTTCTGCTCATGCTTGACAGAAAATTGGAACACTAGAGTCTTATCCTTGTTGTTGACTTCTGGGAACTCAGCTGAAATAGCATAGAACCTGTAGTCTTCACTAGTTTGAATACCTGTACAAAATGAAAAGCAATTAGTAACTAACTAGAAACAAAGTGTTAAAAGGGTAGCTTTACGAGAAAAATCCCAGAAGGTTACCTCTGTCATTAGGATCTCCGTTCCATTTTCCAGAAGTGTAATTCCACTCCCCGGCCATGCTATCATCTCTTTTCCAGTCAGATATCACCCACCGTCTTTCCCATCCCTCTTCAGTTTCACAAACCGGGAAAAAAAGAGCAAAGTTAGCTAAAAATAAATGAAAATATACTAGTTGAAAACAGTGAAACGTAAAAGAAGGTACAGTTAAAACAAAAGCTTCCTTTTCATGATTCGTTGTAATTTTTCAAAAATGGCTACAGAATCGTAGGAATATAACTAGGCATAGTACAGTATAGTATGTACTGTTTCTGCTTGACTCTTTGATTTTAAAATTATTTCTGTCTAAGAATACCACAAACACTTACTCGATTATCAAAATACAATACATAATAAAAATAAAAGCCAAATAATAATATTCATTATTATTCCATTTTGATTTCCTCTAAAGCTAAAACAAATTGAAACGCTAGATACTGTAGCATTCACAGCCATTTCTTGAACTAATAAAACCACGTTTAAAATACTAACTACATCTACGAATCAAATACGCAGATCTAATCGAATTAATTGAATTTTCGAACCTAATTAAGCATTTGGGTAAAGGAACAAATAAAAACAACCGGAACGCCTACTTGAACACATAAAAATCACTGATTAGTTCAAATTAGACCAAAATGAAACATCATAAATCTCTATAAAACAGATTAAAACGACGAAAGCAAGCCGATCAAGAGGTTCACATACAACGGGCAGATTAAGTGACAGAAAGAGGAGGAACGATGAGTCAAGAAAGGATTTACCGTCAAAGCGTTCTTCGAAGAATACTTTAGCAGATGCAGTGGCTGCGAGGGATACAAAGACTGCGTAGAGCAAAATAGGGTTTCTCTTGTGAGTTGTCATGGGAAGGTGCAGAGTGGGAAGGGAGAGTGATGAGAATATCCGTTTATATAGCGGTCGTTGAACTCACTGGTTTTGGGACGGCACGGTGAAAAAAATGACGTGGATCGAAGTAGATTATTTGAGCCAATGGATAAACGACGCGTCATTTAGTTATTGACGTGGCGAGAAACAATTGGGAAGCAATTTGACATGACACCTACGAGGGAGTTTAGGGGTTATATTCCGGAGTTTCGGTTGTTTGGACGTGTTAAACGTGGCAACTGTTTAGTGGCCTATGTTAGAGGGGGTCCACCTACGAGTTAATTTGTGCCTTTTCCCATTTATAAAGGGTAAATTACGAGTTTAGTACCTAAATTATTAACTTTAGTCTGTTTTAGTCCTTAAACTTTCAATTTTTTAAAACTATACATAAAGTTTAGTTTTTGATTCATTTTAGTACCCCTTTCAAAATTAATGTTAAGTTTTGAAAAAATGGAAAGTTTAGGTACTAAAAATGACAAAAAATGATAGTTTAGGTACTAAACGCGTTAAGTTTGAACGGAAGGTACTAAAATGAAACAAAAACTAAACTTTATATAAAATTTTGAAAAAATTAAAAGTTTATGTACTCAAACAGATCAAAATTGAGAGTTTATATATTAAATGCATAGTTTACCCTATTATAAAACATAAATCAAGCGTTTCCAGTAATTTAAAAGTTATTGTTGATATATTGAGGTCTCGAGTTTCAACACTAGATATATAGAGGTGTACAAATATCCAATATCACATGATAAAGATGCTACCTTATACTCGCTCCATATTAATAAAAAATAATATTATATATATTTATTAAAATTCAAACTAAATTTTATTCAAATATTTATTAAGCCGTTTATTGAAGAGATACTCATATGAGAAAATCGCCTCAGTGACCAAAAAAAAGTTATAATATACGATTTTAACCAATTTTTTTTGGATTTGCCAAAATGACCAACAAAATCGCAACGCGAAATAAAAATCGCAACGCGATCCCCAGAATCGCAAATCAGTTTCCAGAATCGCAAATCAGTTTCCAAAATCGCAACGCGATTCTTGAAAATCGCGATGCGATAGTACAAATTCGCATTGCGATTTTCCATAATCGCAACGCGAATATGAAAATCGCAACGCGAACACATAAATCGCAACGCGTATCCGTAAATCGCAACGTGTATCCGTAAATCGCAACGCGTATGGGTAAATCGCAATGCGTATCCGTATATCGCAACGCGTATCCGTAAATCGCAA